GTCCCCGTGACCGCTCCGTGTGGCTCTCTGTGCCGCACATGCTTCCCGAGGAAAAAGTTAATCTCTTGCTTTCGCCGAATACATCACGTCTGTCCACTGCCTCTGCCGCCGCACATGTTATTCCGCGCACGTACGTGCATAACCATTGACACGGCATTGAAACACGAGCTATAGATCCATGGACGCTACGCATGGTGCGGTTGTTGGTGTTTTTGCATTTCCCAGAAAGTTTTGCGGTTCCTGCTCGGCTGTTATTGGTCGAGAAGCCTCTGCCTACATCCCCCACAATGCCACGCGCTTATGAGTCGGCTTTACTTCCGGTGTTTTCTTCCTGTTTTTCCTGACGGAGTTAAGTTAAACTATCGAACATTCTATCAACCCCATTCTCTATTGATATCGAACACATGTCTATCGCGATATATATCGTTATCGTTATATCGCCCAGCCCTATGAGTAACAATAGTGTGTTCAAACAAAATATTTAATTAGATCAATTTTTTTCCCCATTTTCCATTATCTGTGACAAAACGGAACCATCAACATCTCGCCTCAAATTGCATTACAAGTGACATCCGTGTCTTAATTCGTTTGTATTTTAACTTTTAAAGAAATTCACGGTCCGCCATCTTGGTTTCTTCGGCTGCCGTGAGACGCGCATGCGCAGGTTTGCATTACATCATAAACAGCTGAGGCAGTGCATCTCTTCAAGGCAGTGTATCTCAGCGTTACACCGGCTTTCCAAATAAATGGTCTTTATACTACTTTATGTAAATATTTTCAGCATATTATGATATAAGTATTTTGTGTGTGCCTTTTTAGAATTACTATCAATAAACATCAAAATGATATCTGCACATTGCTAGTATAACTATTTGTATATGAAATAAGTGCTTCCCCAGCACTTTTTTCAATAATTCTGTTTTTTTCAATTGTCATGTTTGTAGAGAAAAGAATCCGGTTATATCTCCTTTAAGTATTGTGGAAGGTTGTGAAGTGGATGGATTATCAGCCCCTGTAATGCAATTCAATGGAAGTATTCCTTATTTCATTGAGTTTTTGTTTCCTTCTTTCAAAAGGAATCAATTGCTTTACTTTGTCTCATTTTTGCTTATCATACTTTCTGTAATTGCCTGATCTTTTTACGGACATTTGCTCTCACAAAATAGTGTTTGATTGCTCTATCTCAAATATATATCAAAAGATGTTCAATCTTTTCACTACATAGACATTTTATTGTTGTAAAATACTATCCACAACATTATTTTGTGATAATTTCTGAAATCCCCAGTAATAATCCATAATAGTATATTATTACTTGTATATATACAATCTTATATATAAGATGTTCTTACTGCTACTGTTAGGAGAGTGAAACTGAGCACCAAAAGAATGAGCTAATCGTGAGACAATTAAAGCATACTGTACGTCTCATTCCCAGCAGGTGTTCTAATGGAATGGCCAGTCTGTTTTGCATTGACTTGTTTCTCCGAGCATCTGCACTCATTTGTCCCATGCTTCTTTGTCCTTCCAGGTGGATTAGCCTGCTGATTAGTGCTGCTTTAGCCATTTACAATGTATTGTTAGCAGACACTTAGTATTCTGCTCATAGGCCTAAACTTGGCTCATGCTTCATTCTTTTTTTCTAATGGTTCAATCTCCATGCCCAAGAGAAGTCTTATTCTCGCCTCTTTAGCACAGCCAAAATCTTTTTTTAGTCGTTTTATCTACAAATAAGCTGCTCTTTTAAATCCTTTTCATTGCTCTTGACAGTTCTTTTGTCAGAACATAGAAGCCCTTGTTTGAAGGCCAACGGGACACTGATCTGGCAGGAGGCTTACAAGTTACCTTTTCAAACTTTAGAGCATAGTCTGTATGCGTATAAACACATGTTTTGATGGTCGGGCATATGGTTTCAGGCATATGAAAATCAGAAAATCCTTTCCTTTGAATGATGTACTGCCTGCATGGTGGTGTTTTTCTTTGGTTCATCTGAATGTTGTTTTTACTGGATATTTATACAGTAATCTTTCTGTTTACATGTACATTTTTGTGCACCATAATCATAATTATCATAATTGATTAATTGTACCCGTTAACTAAACTGAGTGACATTTTAAAGAACCACCAAGACAGTTGAGGAATGCCCCTTTTAATGACGCAAAGACTATTTATTGGTTGATTGGTTGATAAGTAGTAGTAATACAGGTAAAGACAAAAAAGCTTTTTGTTTTGGTACATGTTTTGTGGGAAAAATTCCTGATTTAGAATTGTTGAGTTGATCTGAGCTGTCTTTTCCTCAGATAATTTGTGGAAAAACATATTTTAATTTTGTTCCAATTGGCCAGCTGTGGCTATATTGACACTTGGCATAAACTTGGTGTAAATGATGTGCGGAAGGGAAGAATAAGTAGCTTGGATCAAAGCTTTCTCTCTTCGTCTAAGTGGCTGCCAAATGAAGAGGACTCAAAAGTGTATCACGGTTTGTCAGCATTGTCATGTCTCATCGTCCTTTTAGCTCGGCAACACGAACCTATCGATCTTTTCAGCAGTGCAGTTCATTCTTATTGATCCTAACCAAACCATGATAAATGTGTTGGCTACAGGAGGTGAGCTCAGAGCCTCTCACTTTGGGAGCCAAGCATCTGTCATCTGTCTTGTATGAGTGTCACTGTTAGTGGATAAGCTACATTTCTGATAATCATGTCCATCAGTGGTTGTGAGGCGTGAGTACTTTTGGGTTACATCTTCAGGTGGACATGCTTGACCTTTTTCCACGGTTACATTGAAAATTTGCTCAATTAGCTTTTGAGACTAATTCTTGGAGCATTTTAATTCTTCAGGACATCTGGCTATACTAACTTTGGCACTGCACAGACTTGTGTTCAAATTAGGGATGTAAAAATCTATGAATTTTCATGACCGACCACCGAGCCTCATTAACCGGTTAACCGCGTAGTTGAAATTAATCCACGTTATTTGAAATAACAGCCATTTCGAGCCGCGTACTTATCATAAGAGCAGCTATGCGTTCAACTGGATCAGAGCCGAGACAGCGGCGCCAAAACCCGCAACAGCTTCGGCACCTTTTGCGCACAGAGAACTGCTGTTTTAATCTTCCCATTCTTCTGTGCTGCGGGTTAAAGGATTTTTAAGCAAAAGACGGCTCGTCCACATGGTCAGAGCAGCGAGTGACGCGCCGCGTCTCGCAGGTCTCCGCTTAAGTTTAAAAGTGATGTGTGTGGAGCTGATCTAATGACAAGGACCAGCAGCACAAACATTTTTCATGTGGTTTTCCTCCTTGTGAGATAAATAAGATAAGATTTATTATTTTACTTTATCTTATCTTGACTGGAGCTGTGTATTTGCACGGATCCTTTGGGCTCCGTGACACAGAGGAGCGCGACAGACCGGTATGTGTGTGTGTACAATACATGTATGTGTGTGTGTTTGTGTGTGTGTAAATATAAGCCCCAATGTAGTTCTGACGCGCGCCAGTGTGCAACTTTGGCGGTAACAGAGGAGAGAGATGATGCGTGTGGATGTTACGTATCAATGGAGGGAGGGAAAGTGTGTGTGTCTGTGCGCGTGCGCGGCGTGAGAGTCGGCGCGGAGTTTACTAATACATTGGCGCACACAACTAGAGAAAGACCCGCTCGTCACATCGTGCAAAAAGGGCTTAAAATAGCGTTATTAAGAGACCTCCCCTCTCCCCCTTTTCTCTTTTTTAACCGACAGCTTTGACGGGTTAACGCTGTGACGGTCAACCACCGGTTAAACGGTCACCGATTTACATCCATAGTTCAAATAATTATTTTAATGATAAACTCTTGAGGATAATGATTAATTATGGCTTTAATATGTATTGACTTTAATTTAACCAGGGATATTGTGGCAGGTCGGGCAGTACTTAGAAAGTGCCTAAAACCAATGAACTGACCAATGAACTCCGCAGCAGTCTGTTCTGGTATCCTGCTGAAAGGATAGCTGTCCTTGCGATGATCCCCATGAACCTCCATAGAGTGGGGCTCGTGTTGGAAAAAATGACCCGTACCAAGTCAGTATACGCCTGACATCAGGCATCTGTTCGGCATGCCTCCTGGGCGCCTCCCAGGGAAGGCTCAGGGAAGACCTGGGACACACTGAAGCTAGAGATTCTCTCTCAACTGGCCTAGGGACACCTCAGACACCCCCTGATGAGCTAGAGGAAGATGGTGTGAAGAGGGTGTGAAGGAAGTCTGGCATCTCTGCTGCAACTAATGGACCTCAGCCCAGTTTACAACATACATATTTAATTGTACCACAGAATAGTTTAGTAATAAAGAAGAACAATTGATCGGTGATCGATGGATTACTCATTGACAAATGAGGGATTACATTGCTTTGACTGATGTTTATGAACTATAATCATCTTGGGGATTTGTTTGTTTATCTTTTTTTTTTTTTTTTTTTTGCAGTACAGGACCTATTATATGAGAGTGTGCGTGTTTTAAGAGGTAATTCACATTGAGTGGGTTCATTTGCTATGGGTCACAGGAGAATTATGACCATCGCTCCGCCATCTTGTCCAATAGTGCCATTTGACCTGTACAGGATTGCTCCATGTTAGTGTGTGTTGTGCTTGTGTATGCACTCCAATACAAATGGACAGCATAAAACAGGTGTCACTAAAAGGGACCCAATGCGAAAACGTTTATTGCTTCCACCACTCTCTAAACAGAAAATGCGGATAATAACTAAATAGTATGCACGTGTGTGTGTATTTGTGTGTGTGACCCCAATATCGTCCTTCCTCCTTCTCATAAAGTTTTTATATACTTTGAGTGACGGCAGATGGTCTTGGGTAAGCTTCAACAGCAGCACTGGGCTCCACGTACTAAAGCGGCGTTCCTATAATCGAAAAAAAAGGGATGGCGCTGCTGAATAAATTGGATAGATATTTTTTGTATAGAAGATTCTAATCATAGTTGGACTGAGTTTGCCTCTCTCTCTCTCCTCCACAGAGCGCTCAGTTCTACAAGGTCACCACTGAAAACTATCACAAAGCAGCGGATGAAGTGAATGCCAAGTACAAGTAAGTGCCCAAAAATTAAAATGCCATTTGCTCATTTGTGTGGTAATTAGTAGGATAGGCAATGTTTGCAATGTAATCTATAGTTGGTGAAGCTGCTAGAAAAAAAACAAAAAAAAACACAGCTTGGAAAGGAAAATTAATGGCTTTGTTTAGCATATTATATTTTACAAAATTCCATACAAGATATGGCCAAATGTTATAGTGCTTCTTTAAAAATATTATTTGTATGACTTTTTGGAACATATTTCAGCCATTTCTTTCACTGTATTTTTTGACCCATCATAAAAAATTAAACTGACTCATTTAGGTAATTCCTTTAGTGAATTTCTCTAAGCATACATGTTTTAGGCCAAAACACATAAGAATGAGAAGCACCTTTATTAAATACCTTCACACAACCACTAACAAGCAATTTGGTTGTCTTGTTTATGTATAATCATTCATAATCTCATTCACATGACAAAAAAAAGAGTCCGCCTGTGTGAGTAAACTTTCAACCACAACTGTATGCATTTGTATGTCAAGAATGTAATATCTAATCTAATTTGCGGCTTGGTACGGTTGCATGTCCTTGCCTGTGTTGGTGCACCAGTCTGTTTACACTATTGAATTAGTCAAGCCACAGCTTAAACTCCGGCTTTCAATCAGGGGCGCATTAGCCGGGTCCATTAGTTCATGTTGATGATGTGGCTCAGTGATAAGACCCAACGCTCTGTAATGGTAGATGACAGGAGCTTTTATAGTCCAAAGAGAAGCAGCGCAGGCCATCAATATCCAATCAGTGTAAGAAATCTATTAGCATTGCATACACCTTTTGTTAGGTTATCAAAGGGGTGCATCACATATTGTTGTTTAGGAAGTTTCCACTTCACACCTTTATTCATTTTGATATATTTGGAGACGCCAATCAACCAGCCAACAGTCTGAGTCTTTACAAAGTGTGCAAATAGTCATGGATATTTACTGCAGGATGTTTGAGTTAATTTACAATGTATGGTCACAATGTTTAACATGTTTTTAAAAAGAAATTGTCTCTAGAAGGCTAGAAACTATGTTAAATACTGGAACTTGAACTTTCCAAATGTGAATAGCCCCTGAAAAGTTAATGCTGAGAAATGTTTAGTTCACTGGTTCATCATGAAACTATTAACTCGAGCTGTAACTACAAATTACATTTTAATAATGAACATAATCACATTAAAAATGTCCAAAAATAAAAAAATCTTGCAGCAGTATAGTTTAACTCCAGATACTTCTTGGACCCAATCTATGTGACTTATTAAGTCACCTTTTTGCAGGTTACATGTTCAAAATTGCCCAATCTTGTTTTACGACCATAAAGATATTCTATAATGAAGATCTATTATAATGTATTGCAGTGCACAAAAAAAGGAGACAAAGCAGGCATTTTAAACATTTTCATATTTCTTTCTTTTTGGGAAATCCTTGAAAGGGCTACTGGTTGCTCCTGAGCTATACCTGTCAAACAGGGTTTATCACTTTGCTATGATTTAGCAATGTGATATCATTGCCTACTCATCTACCTTTCATAATTTTCTTATTATATGTAAGGCCTTATTATGTTGGAACATGTTTCCAACGCATCGATGCTGCCATTTATATTGTCCAATACTGTAACACACTTGAAAATAAATCCATTATTTTCCATATCCATGAGTCCATTAGCAGCAGGGGTAACATTAAACATGAGTGCGGTCATAGATGTAGCCCATACGGCCCCCACACACAAGTAACTCTAGAAGACTATGAATGCTTCCATCTGTCTTCTTATTAGGAGACCATTAGACTCCATAGTAATGTAGGGAAAGTGGATGAGGAGCCAGCAGGAGGTGGGGCAGCAATGAGCACTGGCTCTAAGGCATGCTCCAGGGAGGCTAAGCTAATTGTGTTAGCTTGTCATTAGCCAGCGCTAACACTGGGATCATTGTCTCCCTCAGAAATGCTGGAAACTGATTAGCCTAACCCATGGGGGGTTCAGCACTACACTCATAGAAGCTGAAGCTGAGCCTTCCCAGATCACATTAAAGACTGGAAAAAACCACCACACACCAGAAAAACATTAGAGCGAAATGACAACGCTAACTGCAAATGAATGTCGGGTTAAAGTACAGGCAGTCACATGATGCAGGCCTTTGCACCGGTCGCTGTGATTGGCTGATTGGGTTATAAGAGGTGCAGTAGCAGGCGTCTGTGTATGCTAATGAAATGACGGGAAGGTCTGGTATTACATGTGGAAAGGCAGCATGGCGCACCCGGGTTAGAGAGGGGGATTAATGGATTCAACATTCTGCGTTTGACTGGTTTTGTTTACGTGGTAGTGCTTTGGGCGTGTTTTCATTCGTGCTCACTCGATCATCGCTTCACATTACTTTCAGAGCTCTCTCCTCCATCTCTAATGCTCTGTTAAGATACTATCAGCGGTCTTAGTTGAATAGTAATATTTTTTGTCTCAATGCAGCTTTTGATTTTGTTGGAATTTAAAATGTCCCGAGAGGTTTTGGATGAAAGCAAATGCTCTATCTTAACTTGATAAAAAGAACATTTGATATGCTAATGTGGCAATGGCATAAAGCGTGAGAGATGACATCTTTCTTATTAGAGGTCTTCATTTGCCCACTCAAGCGCATGTCAGATTTGCTGTAAGGAGATGGATAGTGCTTCATGGATTGATTCGCTGGGATAGATTATGGTTCAGTGCACAGAGCAAAGGGGGTGATGGCAACTCGAAAATACTTCATTAAACACATGCTACATCACCACTTGTTTTTGGGAATGTTTGATTGAGTCTTCTTGGTTTTACTAAGTTGTGTCATGCATAGCCATTTATAAAGTTGTTTTCAGAGTGATTCATGGAGGTTAGAGTAATTCATAGTCCTCTCAAGCCAAAATATCTCAACTTTTTACACTTCTGTCACAGTTTAAAGCTGGGGTACTTTTCAAAAGGAAACCATCTTGGTTTTATATAAAGTTTAAGTAAAATGTTGTGAACAAGTCAGGCGCATTCTATCTTCATCTTATCAGTCCAACCCAGGGGTGGACAAACCGATCCTCAAAGGCCGAAGTGACTGCAGGGTTTAGTTCATACCTAATTAACAACTTATCAAATGTAGCAGTTGAATTAATATGAAAATAATAATCTTGCCGCAGTGTGGTAACGTATAAATCTGTAACCTTTTGTAGCTTCCATTTGGCCAATCTTGTTTCATGACCACGGGCACACCAGACTCTACCATCTCAAGTGAGTCCAGTTTTAAGCTGACGATTTGACAAAATAGGTTGAATGTGGTGTGCTCCTACTCAGATTGGAACTAAAACTTGCTGCCACACCAGCCCTTTGAGGACCGGTCTTAACCCTAACCCTGAGTCTTTAGCATACTTGTATGAAAAAGCTTGCTCTGAGCTGAGAACTTATTGGATGACTTTTTTAGAGATTTCTGAATAATTTTAGACATCAAATGAATTATCTTACACATTAAAGCACCCTAGTCATGGCCTGCACAACTGAATGACCTTTAAAAAAAAACAAAAAACAAAAAAACATTCAGCATATGCAGAATACTTCAGATAACTCAAACATGCATAAACATGTGCATTCCAGTTTGGTGATGAAAGCTGCATATCTTTAGTATGCTTCTATTAACTCCAACAATAACACCTATAGAAGTAGTTGTAAACAGTAGCGCCTCCTGCCTTTCAACAAAATATCTTTGGCTGTTCTCTGTGAAACTGAATAATGCAGAGAGAGAGAGAGAGAGCATCTGAGACATAACACTGTGAAGCAAAACGTGTGGCTATCGCTCAAGTTAAAAAGCGGTAGGCGGAAGCTGTGAAGGCGACTCTGGGCCTATACAAACTAATGATCAGGCCGGCAGTGGGAGCCTTTGTGGACAAAACAAGACGGACTGTGCTGCCAGTCGTTAACTAGAGAAGCTTTGGGACATGGCTGGGTAGACATTTCTTTTATTTGGACGATCTAACTGTGTCATGTTATTTTGCAATGATTTTCTCATTTACAAATACAATTCAATTTATTTTTGTATAGCAATACAGCAGCCATCTCGCAGGACTTCACAAAAGTGCAGATTTGATAACAACAGATTAGAAAATCAAATCAGTTCAAACACAGAAAATACAATACTAACGTACACATGGAAGCCTATCGTCCATACAGGAATGCTCATACCTAACCTCTTCCCCTGAATGGACTCCCCAAAGTTCTTATTATGGCCTAGTGCCTCCTGTGTGTTTTAACATCTAAATCTGCAAATGGCAAATAAATGAATCTGAAACCGGAAATCCCACAGCAGGGATGTAACAAGTTAATCGAAATAATCACAACTAATCTTATTGAGACAGATCAGCTTTTGAGTAGGTGACGTTTCAAGGTAACCATAGTTCTGAAACAGTTTTTGGTGGAGTCACCGTCAAGAGATTTGAATCAGGATTCCTCAGGTGAATATTGAACCGAATCATCCAACTGAAGTAACTTAAATAAATGAGATTGCAGCAGGTGTATACAGCAGGGATACAACTGCTGTATACACCTGCTGTATATACCTGCTGCATACGTCTGCTTCATACGTCTGCTTCATACGCCTGCTTCATACGCCTGCTTCATACACCTTCTTCATACACCTGCTGTATACACCTGCTGTATATAGAAATTTGAATAGTTTCCACTGTGATCTCTTGCTCAGAGTTCTCCACATGCCGCTCAGGGGGTTTGTGTTCTTGCTCAGACCAGTATAAAATTAGAGGGAACACTTCTGCTGAGTCTGTACAAGTGTCACAGATATTAATTCACTATAGTCTCTTTACCTGCTGATATTGTTACTATTGTTTATTCTGGTCATATTCTATGTTGCTATAGTACAATATACACATCTGTAAATGCCTCTGAACCAAGTGCAATTACAGCGTCAAAGTTTTATTTTTTATTTAATTTCATTCTATTTTACCATCTTATTACTTATTATTAA